TTTTTGAGATTTCCATTGAGATTTGATGATTTTGAAGGTCTTTGAATGCAAATGTCTATTATTTTTTGAGATTTCCATTGAGATTTGATGCTTTTAAGTAATGATTCCTTTCATTTTTAATATTGCCAGAGATAGCTAAGTAATGATTCCTTTCATTTTAGTATTGCCAGAGTAGCTCCAGAGGTAGCTAGCTAAGGATTCCTTGTTTATTTATCAATTGATTGTTTTTCTAGCGTACTATTCTAGAGGCCCCAATTGTTGAGAGGGGGGGGTTGATTAATCAAGAGTCAACATTAGAGTTGTTAGTTCTTCCTCGCAGCGCGCAAAGAGAGCACCACTGAAGCGCCTGCACTGAGTCTGGACTCCAGCTGGCACTTCACAAGCTGCTTGAGCAAGTTCATGCAAGGAAAGGCCGGCCAGAAATGACGATTTTCGGGTTGCGAATTAATTTTTGGGCGCCGCTTCCGTGCAGCAGACCGGCTTGTGAAAAGGAATTTTGGCCGCCGAAAGTCAATTTTGCGGCCCCAAAAGAAAAAGAAAACCGCCAGGCCAGAATTGAACCTGGTACGCGGGCATATGAGACCATTGCTTCTCGAACTGAGCTATCCATGTTTCTGTTGGTGGGGGGCGGGGGCTGCCCACCAAATGCCTACGCATGAGATGCGTGGAGGCGTCAGACGTGCGGCATTCCAGCGCCTTGCCGGGAACTGCAATGAGAACGAAATAGCCCAACGCACTTCAGTGGATATATTTTGGGCGCCTTGCGTGCAAGGGGCTAAACTGCCACGTGGTGACTTTGTTGGCGGCGCCCTTCAAGGGTGACTGCTTCGGAAGCATGACTGGCAGGAAAGGGCCTTGATTGATGCTTAGCGCGCACAAACGGAAGAACTCGGTGAAGATTTTGAAAGGCTGAATGCGCATGATGATTTGGCCAAGCAGCGCAGTAGCCACTCTCCATACCGCCGCAACCATTGCGGACCATTGCAGTTCTTTCTTCAGAGCCGCGGTGGTAACAGGGAGCAATGATCAAACAGTTAAAACACCAGCTAAAGAGTTTATTCTACATTTTTCTAAAAAATTTACTAATCGCTTTATAAATTTTATATTGTCATTTCTGGTGTCATTGATACAGTGGCTTGCTATGGGTGTTCATGAAAGTTGCTGCAGACTTAGGCATGAAGATGCCACAAAGGCAACTAAACAACTAGTTAACTAGTAGTGCTGCAGCAGACTCTGCAGCAAGCTAGCACCATGGGCACTCACCATGAACATGCAAAACGATAAGGTTTGTTCCTGGTCAACCAAACCTCACAAAACGATATATAAAGAGTAGAAAAAACGATAACCCCACACGAGACATCTTCATAGTTGATGATTTTGGTTTTGATACCTCAAGTAGCTGCCAAGGCTGCCCGCGCTAAAAAGAACTCTCGATATGTCCAAAGGCGCAAGCAACCTCAGACTAGGCTATGCAGAGCGCTTATCATTCTATTCTAGATTCTAGCGTTTATCATTGTTGCGCCCTCACCTCCATGACTGGGTTTGCAATCCAGCAGAGAGGCTCAATAATTGAGAGGACATTCTGCAATTCAGAGTTAATTATTGGTGTACAATGTACAATGTACATATATTCACAGGAAAGTATTTGCAACTAGCAGATATGCCACAAACGAGCGCAAACGTGATGAACGTTGGGGCCGACATTCACGCAAAACGAGGATTTCCAAGAAATCCCAACAATGTGCTGCCTGGGAGTTCTACTGGGTGCGCAATACTTGATTGTGCTATAGACCCTAAACCCTAGGTGCTGTTAGAACCAAAATTTCATGTTTGTGAGCACGCTCACACCAGCTTATTTAGGCTGGAAATGGCTGGAATGGGTAACATCCATGGCAGGTTTGTTAAGTTGAGCCAGAGGCCCGCTACAAAGCACAAACCAAACACTGCTTTGTTCAAAAGTAGGAATGCAGTGCTCTTCGTATCTCTTCGTTGAGATCCAATGTCACTTTGCACTTACTTCTTTTCTGCGATTGTTGGGCTATGTTGGATTTTTCTGAATGTCAGCCGAATATGTATGCAGGACTTTCCAAACTTTGTGGGGCGCATGGTTCACGGCGCCATGTTGAGGGATTATTCTGAAGAGCAGTTGTGGCAAGCCACTTGACAGCAGCGCCCATTTGTTTGGCAAATACAATGCTGTCATGCCGTATTAAAGCCCCTTGTTCTTGGGTGAATCGTGGCCATACAATGTTTTACACACTTTTACACAACGTTGATGTCCTTCACGAACAGGTCATCGGAAGCCCACGTGCGAGGAGGCGTTTGGCCATCCTCCAAAAGTGTCGCGGCAAGCAAGGCGAGAGAGCAACCTGGACTTCTTTCCGAACCTGCACATGCGTCCACAGTTGCAGTAAGATGTCAAGTCAGTAAGACGTCAAGTTATCGCATATGTTTAAATACATAAAAAAATGACAAAGGTTTCCGTGGTGTTCCGTCCGCATGCTGTAGATTGGACATACAGATGACGGTGACTCTCTCAAACAGAAGCAGTGGCACGCATGCTAGTCTTCAGGTAGAGTAGAACTCTTAACTGTTTGTTGGCACAATTGCCAAGAAAAGCAATTCAAACCTTTAGGGTTCGCTACAGCCAACTATATATTTACAGTATATACTCTCTTGTTCAGGCTGAAAGGCAACACATGGTGGGTGGAATCGGAACTAACTCCTAAAGGAGGATCTTTGCATCAAGATAGCATTCCGGCACACGCGAAACTGTTTTGTGACTCTGACGGAGACAAATTGAAATAGACAGGCAAATGTTTTTCACAACCGCTTCAGTTGCAGAACCTTCAAAGAAGCCCCCACCACCCTCAGGCAGGGGGAGCTTCCTTGAAGAAACGTGAGCTATCCTGCGTCCATAGTAGTAGCTACTTTAGCTACTAGCTGCCTCTTCTACTAGCTACCTCTAGCTGCTAGCTACTACCTCTACTAATGGCCTACCCCCCCTTTAAAAATATCACAACCAAAGGTTAATGCGAGTAAGCCACTCGTGTTAACGCGGTTGTGGCTTTCTGGAGGCCGGCTAGATGCGACGTGCTTTGCCAAAGCCGCCTGCAGTGCCGAATATGTTGCCCTGGCGAACTGTGTGCGTAGCAGTGCAATCCTTAGTCAGTGCAATCTTAGCTCAGTTGTATGGGCTTCTTTTTTTGGTGCTTGGGTGATAGTAAGCCCATCAATGAGACCTTTGGGCAGACTTTGCAAAGACCTTGTTCCGGGGCTTTCTCGTTTAAGGCATTACTGGTCTGGAAACAGGGTAAAGTTGTTTGCATGAGGGCATGAAAGCAACCATTCTATTTAGGATACTTTTGATAAACTTTGCGGTGCAAAGTCCATTTTTTGAACTTGAAATACAGTGATCCAGAATCTCTGCGTGGAAAAAACATATATATATATATACCAATTTGGTTTTGCTTGTTCCGAAAGAGGTGGTGCGGAGAGCTGCCAGCAACAAGTGGCGGCCTTGACCGGATGCGTCCGAGATGAGTGGAAGGTGCCCAGAATTGCCGATGGCAAGATGCTGCCACGTCGGTGACAGTTTTTGTACTGACTCCAACATGACTATACAGCAATTTAAATAACGGTGCGCAAATTTCACATTACTCAAGTTGCCATTGCGGTGCTTCCGATGGCAGGCCTTTCTGATCTCGTCTTCGCCCAGCCTTCAGCATGACGCTTTGCAAAGGATTGAGAAGTTTGTTGAGCCTCCGAGTCCACTCTAGCGCAAAGCAAAAACTGCGTGCTTGTTTGTGATTTGGATAATTTTCTAGACTGCAGTCTGACAAACTGATACTCACAATTCCTGCCGGCAATTATATTCATCCAGCATTTTGGCTCGGTTTGTGTACGTAGTAAATGATATGCTGAGAGAGAGATCCCTTCCAGCTGCCCGTGATGCATCACTGATCACGCTCGCAGTATTGGAGACACAAAAGAATAGCAAACTATATATATATTATGTATATATTTGACCTTTCTTCATTTTCCTTTTCTTTGTCTCTAATAGCGATGGCCTCCAACCTAGAAGCGATGGCCTCCAACCTAATAGCGATGGCCTCCACATGATCTAAATTTTATGTCCTCAGTCCTCAGACTGTACAACAAAGATTCAGCTTCGAGCACAGTAGTCAGCTTCGATGAGCTCAACTTGCGGACTCCAACGCAATGTCTCCTTTGGCAGAAGCAAGCTGGCCAAGTTGTTATTTAGTTGACTCCGCGTGAATGTGTGTGTGTCACCTGTTTGTGAATGTGTGTGTTGGGGTCGTGTATCTCGCATTATCTCGCAAGTTGCCTTTCAAGTCCCCACAGTTGGTGGCGTACAAGGGTCGTGCAAGCAAGATCAATATTTTGATCATAAGCTGGATACTGGTGTCAGCTCCAGATGTAGGAAGAGAAAGTACGAGGTCGCTCGAGACAGAAGTTATTTTCGTTCGCAACAGGAATGTGGACATTCGCGCAACATCACACAACTCTTTTGCATTTTGCAGTGAGTCCCACTGGCGCTTTTGCAGCATAGGCTCGGTTTGTAAAGGTTTGTGTTACATGGAGATCAACATCCAAAGGGGAACGGTGAACTCCATGAAGCAGGCCAAAAGAATCAAGCTTTGCACGAGACAGGATACATGCTCACAAAAACACTCGGTGGACTCTTCGGATCACCCATGTGAGGATTCTTGAGGTACTGCACAAAAGGGCATGGCATTGCGGACATGCACGTACCAAGGGCATGAGAAAACGGGCATCATTTGAGGCACTGAGGCACATGCACATGAAGGATCATGCCTAATTATCTCTGAGTGACAAGCACAATACCAAGCTGAACCAAGCTTGTGTTTTCTGACGATCTCAGGTTCGAACGCTGCAGAGGACCTTCTTAGCAACTCACTTAAAATACAACAATAGTATACAGTATACAATAGTAAACAAATATATATATATATATAAGTTTTTTCCCTTGAAACAAGCTTGCTTCATGTGAAATTGTAGAACTACAATTGGAATCAGTTGGTGCTTGACAGCCTGAAACGAGCAAAATAGATTATCACTAAGCACTGTTCCTGATCATTTTGCTGTCGCTTTGGAGTTTGGAGATGGAATGGAGCACTTTTGAGGTCTCATTGTCAAAGTGTTGAAGGCATTAGAAGTGATTCGAAGACATGCTTAGGTGCCTTTTGCCGCAGTTCCTTGTTGGCCTCAGGTGCCACTCAAAAGCCGTTGGTTGACAGCCATTCAAAGACCTAGGCAAGTTTTGGACCAACATTGTGTCAGCTGGAAATTTCAGCTGAAGCTACTGGCCTTAAGAAGCTACTAGTACAAAGGGCATCGCTACTAGGAGCAAGGACACTACTAGTAGCTCCTGGCCTTACTACTAGGAGCAAGAAGCTACTAGTAACAAAGGGCATTTTCTACAGAGTGTGTTGTCGTGACGGCACCACATACATTAGCTCTTGCCAGACGTTAAGGTAGTGCATTTGATCTGCAGATTCAGGTGATCGGCATCAAATCTCCACGTAGAGATGATATTATTCTGGTGTTTTGATGCATTCGTGTGAAAGGTAAAGCCGGTCTCACACACACATAGGACTTGAGTGTGCAAGTACTTAAAGTGTTTTTTCCTTCTTGTGTTAAGCTTCGGACTGTATTATTGTTATTTAACCGCCGCTGGCGTGTTCCGCCGGCTTTCCAGGTGGCAAGGCCATAAGGTAAACAAAAGCAGACACGCAGATGAAAGACACATGTTTGTAGCAATTTGAGCACGGGTTGGAAAGAAGGAGTAGAAAATGCCTGCGGTGGAACACAGGGTAGTTGTTTATCTATAGAAGAGTTTGGCATCTTAGCGGACAGGTTGGAGGCATGGCAGGAGGAGGGTGCTCCGTGCTGCAGCCTTGATCTATCTTTGGGGCGTACGCTTCGAGGATGCAGGGTGAATGCGGGAGTGCCGTAGAGGATGATGTGTGTGCTGTCTTGGCATAGTAGAGAGGAGAAGGGGGGGGTAGCAAAAATCCGCGGGTAGGGGAAAGACTTACAACACAACAGCAACAGCAACAGGAACATCCACAGAACACGCCGGCTAAAGCCGGCGGATTGTGTATTTTCATACTGAGACCTCCTTTTAGCGGTGGTTTGATCTTCCCACTTGTCGTCGGGAAGTCTATGGATTGTAACACACGCACATATATGTATATATACATACATAATTTCTGCTCCTGCACACAATGATATTGCAAAATACATTTCAAGTATATATATACATATTATCTACAGCTCAAAGTAGTTGTGTGTGACATTTATGAAAAACAATGAATGTTGGGTACGTACGCCTGCTTGGTGCGGTACGCATGGTTGGTACGCATGGTTGGTACGCATGGTTGGTGCGGTACGCATGGTTGGTACGCATGGTTGGTGCGGTACGCTATATGTGTGGCTGGCACACACGACTGGATGCGTGTACTTGGTGCGATACAAGTCGTTACAATAAAGTATGCAGCATGCAGCATGCAGGTGTTCAATGCGATGCATGTGGTTTGTTGACGCAAACACCGATGTTTGTTGTAATGCGGGGTGGCACATCTATATGTCTATATGAGGTATAAGTTTGTCTCTAGCTTCAGCGATAGGCGTGACTGGTCATGCTTGTGTTGGTCTCATGCAAACATGTTTTGGCCATACCTCTTGACAATCACATCTGTTGTGTGTGTCATTGTTTGCCTGCTGGTTTGTAGTGATGCTTTTGATTTGAAAGAACCACACCACATTGCCCTTCCTCCTTGCTTCGCTTGCTCAACTCCGAGCAATTTGACACAGGGGAAATCTGTTAAGTCTTCAGGTTACAGGTGGTTAAATGTTGTCTTGACATTGTTAGGATGTCAATGCATGCTATGTTTGCAAACGTTTGCAAGTCTGATCTCATGTTTCATGTCATCTAAATGTTATTTTTATGTTATCTATATAAACTAAATGTTCTGAGACCTAAAAACCAGTTGTGCAAGATTCATGGTCAAACAACTCTGATGATCCCAAACACGAGATGATATAGCTATGCGAGCTCCAAAAGGGTACATGGAAATCGAAAGGGGTACATGATGCATATAATATAATATCACGTGATGTATTCTCATATTGGCAGCAGCGTAGGCTACTCCATGAGACTAATTTAGACCGTCATGTTGTATGTGCACGCCTTGCTTGCCATGGCTGTGGTATGGCAAGATTTGCTTCGCGCCAGCCAGGGTCACCTGTCTGAAGTTGTTGAACTTGATTGATCCCTGACCAGTGGCTGCGCTGCGCTTGTTCTTTATTTTTTCGTTTCAGGCCTTGTGTCAGAGGATTCGCAGGTGGCATCACTTTCGCGTAGCTTGGTTTTTGTCGTTTTATTCAAATGATGTCTTAGCGTCAGCTGCAGTGACTTTGACAGGAAGCGTGATGTTGAGTCTGTAGATTGAAGATCTGATATGATAAAGTATGAATGTAGTGTAGTATAGTATACACTATATTGTTTTTTGCATATGGCGATGTGCATTACACGACTCCTCATGCACCGCTTTTCAACTAACTTTGAATGTTGGTCCTTACTTATTTGTTGAGTTTGCTTTGCAATGTTGCATCTTTCCTAGACTAAGCAGACTCTTGCTTTTTACATAAAGTAAGACAGGTTCTTCTAGGCGAGGGAACTGTGGAAACATGTAACATCTGAGGAAGAAGAAGATCAGCGTTGTGTTGCAATCAGCGCCGCAAGACGCATTCCATCAAGCCGCTTTCTGAAGAACTTGCGCGTGTGACCTTTGTTTGTGGAGGCACAGAAGCTTTTGCAATAGATATGTCAGTCAGTACAATCAGTTGCAGTTAAAGCTTAGGTCCCTTATCGAGATCACCAATGAACGAGCGACCAGGCATCAGGACACTTTTGTTCATCGTCGAGGAAAGGCAGTGCAGCGCAAGATTGCAGGGCCAGGCAAATACAAACAATTTACATCCAAGACTATGCTGCAATCAATGTTTCCTGACTAAGATATCGAAGGTTGCACCGGTTGCACCAATTGAATAAACACAGTGGGTAATAGCAGCATGACACAGGTTCCAACATGTTATATGTTTATGTTTTTATCATTAACTACAGTGCTTACACATGCACACGCAAACACCCACTGAAGGTTTGGATGTTCAGTGTCAATGTCGGCAGTTCGCAGCCAATCTTCAACTGTGAGACAGTCGTCACCAGCTGCTCAGCTGGTATTTTATGTGCTTTGGATATGACACACATATCAACGCAAAAACAGCCTTCTGCAAATTTGCTGGACTAAGGGAATGTATTCTCTCAACTCAATGGCCTACTGGATGCAATCTTCTTCGAAGTATCTGGGGAGGGCAACTTGGGTCTTTCAGTAGTGCTTCATGCTTTCTGCAAACCACTCATCAATGTCGATGATGTTTGTGTTTCATTTTGGTAGATTTGATTTGGCGGTTACGCGCTAGATTTTATGCTCTCTGTGACTACCTCTTTCAAGATGAAGTCTGCACACGCAAGGAAGCTAGAGTTCAAGAGCTTTTCAAATAAAGCTGGGTGTGCGCGTCGTTGATCACACTAGAATCTAGAATGAGACTTGCTGATTTCGGTTTCACCCCTCATACTCACTTAAATGTGTTTTATATGTGTAGTCTTTACTGCAATTTTGTTAAACCAAGGTGAGAAATTCGATCGCTAATTTGATGATGCAGTTCCAGAAGATTGTGGTTTGGTCATATGGAGCTGTTGCTAGTCTGCCCTATAGCCTTTGGCAGATGTTCACCTTGACAGTATGCCCCACACACACAAGCCTTCTACTTTATTGTCACAAGAATGCTAGACTTTCACCTTTTTGTCAAAACCAACATGATTACATAATGAAGCGTCCTTACACTCGTGGTTGCCGCACAGTGTGACGCAAACAGTCAGTCACGCAAGAGGCGACTGTATGATACTGTATGTCTAAGAGTTGGTGGTGAGGGTGGTAAGGGTTTCTTCATCCTGAGGCAAATCCATACATTATGACGATCAACCTCGAGTGGGATGGCACTAGCCAAGCACTGCGTCTGCGAAGGGGCTTGTTGGAGACAGACGCTGTGATGCCTGCACTGGCTGCTCAGCTGTTTACCATCTAGACTAGATGAGTTCTGAACATATTGATTGAACAAGAACCTTGGCAGTCTTGACGCAAGCAAAGAAAGAAACGAGCTGTCAACAAGTAACAAGAACAAACATATAACATAGACATAGAATAGAATCAAGTCATAGAGTACAATAGAGTACCTAAGGTTCGACGGATGGAGTTGCTGGTGAAGCAAAATGCTTCATCACACCACAAGCATCTTGGCAGCAGGCATGATTCTCACTGGATGAGCAACATCCATGTCATGTCCAATCATATTCTTTGTAAGCAGTGCAGCGTAATTGAACCCAAATGGTCAGCTCACACTAACGTGTCAAGCGCAGCACGAGCATGTGTCACGGGTCACTGCCATACCCTGCAAGCAAAGGCACTCTACTTTGATTCTTCCACCTGCAGTTATTGAAGATGAAACAGCTGAAGGGATATGGGGAGGCATGTTGGCTACACAGCCCATAGACGTTGCTCGTCGTTTGCCCAGTGTATATCATTGGAAGCTGTCGCATATGATGTGATTCTTTCTTTGGCAGTTGGAGAAAGCTTTTTGAGTATGATGTTTTGTCTTTCTAAGCGCAAGACACCACCAAGTTTTTTCTTGGCCTTAAGGTTGGCACGGCTATTGCCAACACTATTGCATACATTTATTAAGCGACGGAGCACGAGCAAACGAGTTACTTTCGCGATGGGTATTCAATTCCTTGCCACCAAATTCCTGGCGACTTTGGAAAGGTTGCGATACGTCATTCGACATATGACATATTATTGTTTGCTTGTTTAATGGCTTGTGCAAATATCAGCCAACAGTCTGTTCTGTTCGATGGTATGTACGCATGAAAAGATGGAGTAAGATGTAGAGGTGTGATAGGAGGTACATATGTTGTAATATGTATTGTATGCTCTCAGCAGTTTGCAAGGCACGCTACCAACCATGTATCGGAACCAATGTGGCGTGGATTGAACTGTCTCTCTCAAATGTGAGGGCCCAAGTTGCCTGTGACGCCTATTGGTTGCTTGTAGAAACTATGAACACTTTACATGTTTGTTTTTGTGTGTG